GTCATGAACCACTGAACAAGTTTCATTGAAACTCCCAGAAACAGATAGCTGGATGTACATCCACAACTGATTTGTATCTGGAGTCAAACAAATTCAAGATAGCACATACTGACACATAATGACTATAATTTCACATATTTCATGCTGAAATTTGATGTGACTGTAGCTGAATTATTCACTACCTCAAAAAATGGTTTCACTTCCCATCCAGGTCACTTTCTCATGATCATTAAGGGGTACATATCATGTAAAATAAACTTTTTTGAGTTTTATATCATGTTATAATGTTAAACCCTCATAAAGAAACATGTCCAAAGCCTTGCATTGACTCATTCATGCATGTTTGAGAAATCCTGCAGCATTTTTTTGTCAGCCATGAGGAGCAAAACGACAGGTGGGGACCAGAAACGTCTTTTGCTACCAGAAAAGCCCCTGGCTTCCACACCTCCCCACCCCACACACCCCGCCCATGACTCCTGCAGACTCTCCGCAGTAACAAAGCAAAGTGAAAGTGAAACTTACACTGTCTGCTGCTCTCAACACTACTTCTCACTCAGTGAAGCTTTTTTCAGATTCAAAATACCTTTGAGGAAATGTATTTTCAGATGCCAAATGAACTGCATCATAGCGCACTCGCAACCCCCCCTGCATGCACACAAGCCCCCGCGTACGAACCCCCCGCGGATTTGATCCCAATGTCATTTTGTAGAGTCAAAACCTCATTTTCAACACCAGAGCAGTCCAGACTGAAACACGAATTTGGACACATCCATCCATCCTGGTGGACAGCTGCGCGTCTCATAGCAGCCAGTTTTATTTTTAAAATCATGGAAAAGCACGTCTGCAGCATCAAACGCATCTTTCATAAAGTCGTCATCGCTGAAAGATGTTTTCTGCAGTGTTTTTTTGTGTTGAGGCAGGTACGGGGCTGCATTAGCAGCCTTACCGTGGCTCAGGAGGGGGAATCCATCTCATAGCGTTTGTGCATTGTTTTGAAAGAAATGCAGTTCCACTTTATCCTTTTTGGACAAGCCAAGGCAGCGCTCGAATTACATGAGTCCTCTTCCCACTCCAGGTGAAAATAATAAGTTTTTGTTTGCTTGTTAGCTGTCTTTTGTTCATTTTTTTCCCGCCTCGCTGCTTTGTTGTGAACACGTGACCCTAAAGTCTCGCGAGACCGTGTTCGGAGTGCTGTTTCACCGCACCCAAAACTCGCAAGACTACATCTGTGAGCGGAGCAGACGAGCTGGCTCGTCAGCTGCGCTGGGGAGTATGGCAAGCCGTTGGGGTCATAAATCGGGCGTTATTTACGTGCAAACCCTAACGCGCGGTGCCGTAAATAACGTGCGAACGCGCGGTGGCGTTAAATAATGTGCAGTGGCGTTTTCTAACCTAACCCTAACCCCAACCCTAACCCTAACCCTAACCCACCGCGCGTTCGCGCGTAACGCCACCGCGCGTTCTCACGTTATTTACGGCACCGCGCGTGGGGCCACCACGCGTTCGCACGTTATTTACGTCACCGCGCGTTAGGATCTGCACGTAAATATATGCACCGCGCGTTAGGATTTGCACGTAAATATACGCCCGATTTATGGCCCAACGGCTTGCAATAGGGGAGGGCGGAGGGAGCGTGTTCAAGGCTGGAATGTAAACTCCTCCCGCCTCCACCGCTTCTGCCGGAGAGCTCAGCGAGCGGACATGAGTCCCGGGCCGGAGCGCAACTGTTGCTCTCACGAGCCGGCTCTCAGCGGTTAGAGGATGGTTGCGCTCTGTGAGCTACCGGGAACCAGCCAACGAGCTACCGGTCGTTCGCGATCAACTGGTTGAGCACCCCTGCTCTAAAACCCTGCATGTAATTTTTAGCAATTATGCTCAAAACGTACATATTTCACATAATCAGGTCAAAGTTACCTAAAGACAACAAAATAGTTGCATCTGTCTACTTAATTTCTATTGAGAAAATGATATCCTTTTATTGAGGGGGTTATTTTGACTGGATCAAATTATTGTGGGGGTCATAACCCTCTTAACCTCTCTGCAAATTATGCCTATGAAGAAACAACCCGGACGGGAAATAGAATCCTTTTATTAATTTTTTTTATCTTTCTTGAATGCAATACAGTATGTCCTGTCTGACTGAGACACTACACCAAATTCTTCACAACTCCATGTGCCACACACCTTGCAAGCACTTTGTTTAAAATGTTAACATTAACTGCTAGAATCAATCTTGTGTTTTTTGTTAGCAAAATATCTCTTGAACCACTTGATAAATATTAAGAAAACCTTGAGAGAGTAATTTTTATTTTTGGAGCCATTTTGATTCTAGATGGCTGCCAGAGCCAACTGACTTTAGCCAACACAAAAATGGCTAGCTTTTATAGAGAATGAGTAATAACACATTTTCATTTAATGCAACTTACAACACATAATTTGATTGCAACAGCTTATGGTTTTTATGTGAAGTTGCATGTTATTTTCAAAGTTTTAGCAAAACAGCTACAACTGAATAGTTTCTTATCATAAAATGATCCAAAACTCTGGCGTAAAAAGAGATAACATGTTTTCCTCAAAGGAATTTTTAAATCTCTTGAGATATTTATTGGTTATTAAGGTTGGGTTGGTTGCCTTTTTGGGCAGACAAATACAGGTTGAAAGTGATCAGTGGCGTTATTTAGTAAAAAATTAATTAATTAACTAATTAATTAATTAATTAATTAATTAATTAATTAAAAAAACTGCTGGTACATGCTGACCAAAAGTGCAAGGGTACAATTTGGCTGAGGGGCCCTTATCCACTACACTCCACTCCTCTACAACATGGTTTGATTTGGCTGAACTCTGTTCAGCATGGTTTGGGTGGTTTTCCATTACACTTCAGGAACAGCTGTAGTGGGTTGGTTCATCGTGAAGTTAGGTGGTCTCAGATTCTGAAAATTGATGCCACACACCTTACCAGCTGGTGGTGGTTATGTCATTTGCCAGCTACCATTAAACATAGCAGAAGAAAAGATATGAAACACAACAATGGAGGGCATGGTAGTTTTGTTATTGTAAATGGCAGATCAAGTTGTTATGAGAGTAGCTTTTATGATGCAATCAGTGACTCCACTCCCTAACCAATCAGTAACCGACAGTCTTCTGACATCACATTTTCAGGCCCACATGGTACACTTGGAATGACAGAGACGTACACTCTGAAAAGGGGGTTGGTTCCACAAATCCTTGGAAAAGCCTTAGAACCGTGGAGAGCCAAGTTGAACTGTGCTGTAACTTACCCAAAGCCAGAGAAGCTACAGTAAGACACACACAAAAAAAAAAGAAAAAAAAAGAATTAGGGTTGGGTATTGAAAGGGTTTATTTCGATACCGGTGCTAAATCGATACTTTCAAAATGGTTCCGGTTCCTAAACGGTATTTAAATCGGTACCTCAAAAATAAATAAATAAAACTCCCACACTCCCACAGAGTTTTATGAAGCAATGATTATTTCTGAGTCAAACTTGAAATTGACCAACATATTAACTTTAAACCATTAATAATTTGTCTTYGCACCAAATATTCTTAAAGCATTTGCTGTAGGTGGAAGTTTCTGCATCTTATTTTGTAAAGTGACTCCACACTTTGGACCATTTTGCTTTCGACATCTCGACTATAATATGTAATATATAACTGTTGACTGCAACAGCACCTGTTCAGCCCCCTCCAAGAACTCGGTTCTACTGGATTCACTTTGGGTCGGGTCGGTTCTGCTCAATGTCTGTGTGTCTCCATGCAGTGGGTGTGATAATGCGCAGACCGTCCGCAGCGGCTTCAGCTGTTGTGTTAAAAATAATCATAAAATAAAATAAAAAAGCTGTTGTGGTTTTACCGTTCGGACTTCGCGTTTATTTGTTTATTTATTTTCACGGTGCTGTTTAGCTAAGTGCTTGTGTAACCGTGCGGCCAGTATGCTGAAAACCTCCCATGATCTGCTCAGTTTCGTCTCCTTCACCTCTCTCCAGGTTGAAAGTGTTAACAAATTCTGCCTTTTTCAAAAAGGCAATTTTATTTCACCATGTCATCATATCGCGCCGCACATTCGTATTCCTAAACAAAAGCAGCTCTCCAGGAGGAACTTTGCTGTCAGTAAATCCAAGAGTTAATCCACGGGCAGAAATCTGCTGACATTAAAATCATAAGCTGCTGTACTCGCTTCTACCCGAACCACCGGAGAGGAGGTTCTGAGACAGCGCAGCTGTGGAGCGCGCTTGGAGAGGCGCTATTGGGCCGAGACCGAGCCGAGTCGAACCGCATACAAGAGAGTCCGTGGAGATTGTGTGCCGTGGCTGTCACTGTTAACAGTGAACACCAGAGGGTGCAAATTAACAGCTTTCTTTGAGGCACCGAAATAAAGCACCGAAGTTAGAGATGTGTTTCAGTCCGTGTACTTACCATGGAGGTTCGCCCCGGTGCCATTATAGAACCAAGTTTCGGTACCCAACCCTAATAAGAATGTTTTTTCTCTGAATTTTGACATGCCCCCACCGCCTGATGGCATGGTACAGGTATTTCAGCATTTTTGTTGAAATCATGTAAACAGTGAAAACTTACAACCCTAAACAAATGTAAAATGTAAACTAAAAGCAAATACAATGATCTGAAGAATTCACAAACCCATATTTTATTCACAAGTGTACACAGTAAACATATCAAATGCATAGATTTTGAAAAAAAGTATAAGTTTTGGTGAGGTTTGATGGCAGCAACACATCTCAAAAGAACAGGAAGACACAACAAAACACTGTAAAAGGAAGTGGAAAGACTAATAAAAGGTATAAAAAGAGACTTTTAGGGACTGGTTCTCTCAGAAGTAAAGATGGGCAGAGGTTCACCAGTCTGCAAACAACATGCATCTGAAACTTGTGAAGCAATTTACAAATAATGTTCAACAGAAAACGTGGATCATTTGATAGTCAGGACCAGCCATCCCTGTGTGGGAACATCCTCTAATTATCCTAAAATAAATATAACAATGTCAACAACACAACAACAAAAAAAACCTTTCATTGCACGCAAGTATGACTAGAAGGGTTTTGACTTATGACTAACTGCAAATGACTTGGAGACGCTGCTCTACTGACTTTATTTACATGTTATTTATGAAAAATAGAGTCAGTAGAGCAAAAAAAGTCTAAACAAATGTATCAATTCTATCATGCTAATATTGATCCGATACAATTATCAGTTTGGTACTGATACAATCTCTATTTAGATCAAGACGCCCACCTCTATTAAAGGGAGAGGGGCCATCCAGCCTTCTATCAGAGCACATAAATGCCTGCCTCTCTTATAGTATGAAAGTACATTAGCTTACATGCCTGGGACAGATTCATCAATGTGGGAAAAGTACATACAGATTTTTGAACAACAAATATACGTATACACCAGGTAACAGCTTTTCAGGCCTTATATATTTCAGCAAAAGGATGCTAAATCAGTTATCAAAACTCAGAACTGTTGACCAGCTAGAATCCAACATCAGAAAAAAAAAAAAAACTGGGCACATTTCCCTCCAAAATCTCCATCAGCTGGTGCCCTTGGTTCGTAGCCGTTCACAAAGACTGTAGAGAACAAGATTCTTCACCGTCAGAAACAACTTTGTTTGAGACGTGTTGCTGCCATAAATTACCTTATTTTTATTTTTTTTACACCAAAAGTGTTCATATTCTTAGTTTAAAGGTTTGATATATTTACTGTTAGATTGTGAAAAAAAAGATACATTTACAAGATTTGTACCATCTCTTGGATAAAAAGACACACGTTAAGAAGAGTGTTGTTGAGAGGTCATAAAGATGTGCTTTTTTGAGTGCTTATGCAAAATGATTAATGCATCAAACTGCATGCATGCTATTTTAATGTTATGTAACTGAACCAAATTATATGTTATTTATTTGAACATAATCCAATAAGAATAATCATTTCAACAGAAATGAGTTTATTGGATTTTTTAACCACTGTCACGTAATCTAAAATTTTCAGTAAACTATCTGTAGAGGGCTGCCTCGGGGAAGCAGAGAGGAAAGCACAGAGGGAAGTTTGGGCTAAAGTTGAGAAGGAGTCCAGATGAAAGCCACACACAGACGTCAGGTCAGTTCTCGGTGGTCGCTGACACTTACTGGCTTCGGCTTGGCAGCGGGGCTCAGCTGATTCTGCTCGAACTCTTCCTTCTCTTCCCTTGATCCTTCGGTATTGCCGTTGGATGAAGGCGAAACTTGAAGCTCCTTGACCTTTCCACTCATCACCTGTACAAGGTCCAGACTCATCTTCACCATAGAGTCCGTCTGCGTGGGCTTCCTGAGCTACCAAGACCCCCTCTACCTCAGATAGAGACACTGTGAGCTCTTTTTAGGAGGGGGTAAACGAAAAAGGTCAACCTTAAAAAAAATAAAAAAATAATGTCCTGATACCGTCTCTAACATTTATCAGGACTGAGCGGGCATGTTCACAGATTGTCAGCTCCTTAAAACGACCGGCTTGCACCTGCTCCGAAAGAGCACAAGTTTCCTCCTCTTCCTTGTGCTGACCGCTCTGAGCACGGCGTTCTCCCTGTCGCTGGGATTACTGCTCTCAGCATCCAGTCCAGAGGGCACGAGGGACGCTCACTGCTTCATAATTATTATCCCACACAGAGTTCCTCCTGTCACAGGCCGCCTGCACACACACACACACACACTCACAGTTTGTCCGGTGTACAAATGTTTTAGGCTGTGCAGTGCTCCATCTGTCCCTCTCGTTTCCCCCCCCTCTCGGTGCCCCCCACCCCCTCTTCCCATCTTGTAACTCTCTGTTCCATTCAATCACCCTTTCAGATCTATGCCCCCCCCCTCCCCTCCCCTCGCCCTCCCAGCATGGACCAATCACAGCCCTACTTCCTTTTCCAGCCTGACTCCGCCTCCGTCGTCCCGGTGTCGACTGTGCAGTTTACCAGAGAGGCTCATGGGAAGTTTAAGCAGGCTCTGTAAAAATAGCAATAATGATGAGCCATTAAACCCACAGACAATTTTTTTTCCTTTTTTTTTTTCATGGAAGATGGAAAATAATAATATAATTAATAACGGTAATAAAAATGTTTTTAAAAACTTTTTACAGTGAACTTCCTAACACTTACATATTTTTCTCTCAGAAACTGAGTTTATATGAAACTTTCTGAAACTCAACAAAAAGAAAAAAATGCTTTCCAGGAAAAACGAATATAATAAATGTATAATTACTGTAGGTTTTATCAAAATAAAGCTGTTTTGATTCCTGTAAGTGTAAGGCAATCCATTTTAGCATAAAACTGACTTTGTCCGACTATCTGTAATTACACCTAGATATCTAAAAATGAGTTTTGACTAGAAACAACTACATTTGGACTATACTGAATGGTAATTTAAGATATCTGCATTAACATTCTGGCAAGACAGAGGAAAATTTCAAGACAGTTTAAAAAAATGACGTCAAAATGTAATTCAAGATGTCTCCCATGATGTCACCAGATTCAAGACATATCAAATGTAATTATGACTAGTCAAAATTACATTTTTAGGTATCTGAAATACCAAACTGCACCTAAACCCAGACTGAGCTGTCCAAACAGCTGCCTGCAGAAATTTGGGTTCCTGCAATGACAGATAATACATTATCAGTTTTTTTTTTTTAATTCACGTGGAGCTACAGCTAAAAATGATGTAAAAAAAACAAGATTTGGAGGTGGACTCTGACGACATTTCAAGATATATTGAACAATTAATCATTAGTCAAAATGTTAATTCAAGATATTTTAAATAGAAAATCTGCCTAGATGAAATAAATACTCTGTTTCTTATTAATTTGGAGATATCGTAAAATGAATTTTCAGTAATCAAAATTATAGTTCTAAATATCTGTAAAATGCAATGTACGTAAGTAAGCAAGTAGGTAAGTAAGTAAGTAAGT